CGGGCGCGTGTGCGTGCGTGCCCAAGATCCAGAGAGGAGAATGGAAGAGAAGGGATTGCGGCGTGGCCATCCCCCCGGGGGGTGATTTCTCGCTTTCTGTCTCTGTCTCTCTCTGTCTTTCTGGTGAGTGCACATGCCCTACAGCAAAAAAACTCTCCAAAAAAACATACCTCCATTTTATATTTAGAGAGCTAGAGACTTGAACTGGTTAAGTGACATGCTCAGGTTACCCTCTGAGTTAAAGGCACAGCCAGAACAAGAGTCCAAACACACCAGCACCCACCAGCCTCCACAGAACTAGCCAGCCTTTGACAAGGCCAGGAGCTGAGGAAGCAAAAACACCAAAATAAATTATATATTTTTTTAATCTTTGCCATTCTGACTGGGTTTAAGTGGTGTCTCATTGTGGTTTTAATCTGCATCTTCCTTATGATGACGGATGTTGAGCATTTTTCACATGCTTTTTGGCTGTACCTTCCTTAGAGAGTTGTGGCAAAAGGGGAACGCTCCTACATTGTTGGTGGGAATGTAAATTTGTCCAACCACTGTGGAGAACAATATGGAGGTTCCTAAAGACCTTCAAATAGAACTACCACATGATCCAGCAAGTTCACTCCTGGGTATCTACCCAAAGGACAGGAGAACACTCAGTTGGAAAAGCACTTGCACAACTATATTTATTACAGCATTATTCATGATTGCTAAGACATGGAACCAACCCAAATGTCCACAAACAGATGAATAAATTGAAAAAGTGTGGCACATATACTCCATGGAATTCTATTCAGCCATAAAAAACAAGACCCTGGAATCTGATAGAAAGTGAACAAATATGGAAGATTTTGTTGCTGAGTGAAGCAAGTCAGACTATGAAAGTGAGACATTGTATGTCTCCACTTAACGTATACTGACTGTCCACACTCTGTGGTAGAGACTGAAAGTCTAGAGAACATAAAATCATTAAAAATTGTCATGGACACTAGAGATAAAGTGGAAGGAAAGCGTGTGAGGGGAAGAGCGAAGGAAAGGAAAATTGGGGGGAAAATGGAGAGGTAAGACATTTGTGGAACACAGACATGGTTTATTATCTGTTGATGAGGATGTGTATAGTATTAGCAACTGAATATAGGTGTGTATCATGGTGGGTAAAGTCTCTTTAAAATCTAACTGATGTATAGCTACTAAATGTATAAATAATAATAATAATAATAAAGAAAAAATATAAATAAAATAAGTATATGGGATTGGAATTCTATACTCAGAGAATTTTCAGTTCCTTCTGCAAACATACAAGGAAACTTGAAATGAACTTATCACACTCTGCCAAGAGCCAGCTTGGGAAATAGACGCTTAAGTCCAAGTGAGAAGTTGTAGAGGAGGCACTTTAGGACGGCACACAAGACTAACGGAAGCAGTGATTCCCATGGGATGGCACAAGCTCCGGAGAGAGACAGACCTGCCTTTGAGTGACTCTATCACTCAGAGTGTGATAGCTAGGTGACCCGCAGCAACTTCTTTAACCTCTCCAAGACTCAGTCTCTCACCTATGAAATGAAAATAATGATCATCTTAGAGGGTTGACATGGAAATAGAAGATGTGATACAAGCCCCTGACATGATGACAGGTCCATAAGGGGCATTCAGGGACAAAGCAAGTACCAAAATGCTAGTTACAAACAATGATTCCACTAAGAACAGCAGAGCAGGAGACAGAGGTCGTATGAAGGTTTCCACCAACTTAATGAAAGGAAGTCTGAAATAATTAAGAAACACATGGACAGGCGTTCAATCTGCAGATCACAAGGACAATTTTTTTCAGTATGAAAAGAAAGCTGTCCAGCAGCTCCTAAGCAGATGTCACCCTGGAGCAGTGCCCTTGACAGAGAGCAGGCTGGTCTTTCATTATCTGTCCTCCTCTTTTTCTCTCAGCTTTTTATATATGATGTTCAGCAAATGCACACATACTGTGTGATAGTGGACCATACAAGGGGCCTTTGAAAAGCCCATAGACAATGCATATTATGAAAACATCACGTATGTATTTCAAAAATGTTTGCACTAAAATAAACTTGAACTGTAAGTCCACTTTTCCATGAACTTTTAAAGTCTCTTTGCATACCATGTAGGCTCCATTTTCGTAATGGATACCCAAGACTGTGGGCAGATATGACATGCTCTTAAATTTGCCCAAAGCCTTAAGAAGGAGAGAAGCTACTTAATACTGCATCTAATGGCACTTTTTGTGACAGAGCTGGCTACTGAAAATGTATTTAAGGATTATCACCTTCTGACCAAAAAGTGGGCTGCACTAAACCAGCACAATGAGCTGCACTGGGAGCATTATAATTCCATGATTTATATATAAAATAGTGGATAATATCTGTATCTACACATCAAAGGGAAGTTACTCCTTTTTTTCACATGGAGCTGATTTCAAAGAGATTTATACTTCTTTTTTTTTTTCTTTTTTGAGAGGTTTTTGCTATAAGGCGCATGTGCTTGCCAGAAAGAGAGAGACAGAAAGTGAGAAATCACTCCCCAGGGGGATGGCCACGTTGTAATCCCTTCTCCTCCATTCTCCTCTTGGGCACACATGCACATGCGCCCAACATGAGTTTAAGCCACCGGGTCCGGGACTTAAACCGCAGTCGACTACATAGGAGTACAACGACATAGCCGTTACTCCAACTGCTGATCCCCAAAGGGATTTATAATTCTTAGTGAGAGATGCTCCAGAGATTTGGACCTGTGAGTCTCTGAGATGGTAGATGTTTAATAGTATCAGTGTTGAAAGAACCTCAGAGGTCTTCTGAGAGCCTTGAAATATAAAATGATGATCTCTCTCAACTCCCTACAGCTGTCCAGATGCCATTTAAAGACCTATGGTTCAATGGTGGCCATTTAGAACGATTTAAAAATTACCTCCGAAGAGCGATCACACAAAGAAGAAGAAAAGAAAACATAGGCTAGTGAGGACAATGGATTACGACAGCAAGTTAAAGATTCTTGCAACTCTTTTACTCCTCTAGGTTGACTGAAGTCTGAAGACTTCGGATTGAGGAAAAGTCAGAAATATAAAAGCCAGAGCAGGCTTTTAAATTAAATTTACCAATTTATGATTTCCTTTGACATGATCAAAGCTAAACTTTTGCAGGGACATTTTCTCAATACTAAAGGCAAATAATCCCACCTTCAAAGACATTTTCAGGTCTACTCAATGGCTTTGATTGCGCAGTACCCTGTTTCCTTCAAAACTAAACTTCATATTTTAAATATTGATCAACAAACTAGTCTTCCATTCCCAGATTTCATGTTCAATCTCATGATTGTAAAGCTGTTAGGTTTATAAGGGCTCCACTTCTTCTGCCTTCCCTAAGTGGTGGTGTTCCACCAAGATCCCTCTTTCCATCTTCTACCTTTTCTTACCTTATTTTACATCCTTTCCCCGTACTTCTCCCCATATGCTGATAACACCTAACCATCAACCTACCTGTGGCTCAGGCCTCTCTCCTGAGCTTCACATCCATATATCCAAATACCTCCTGGACATGTCTGCCTGGATGTCCCATTCTCAAACTCACCATGCACATTATGGAGTTCTCTGCCAAATGTACATCTGTTCCTCCTTTTTTATTTTTCTTACTGGTGCCAAAATCCATCTAATCATTCAAGCTACAAACATGAGCATGGAGCTATAAGAGCAGAGAGGAGACTTGAAGGATAGTAGCAATTTGCTGCAGGGTAGGGAGGTAGAGAGGCATTCCAGGTGACAAAATGTCATAACGGAGGCACCAAAGAGAGAAGAGCATGGTATGTGATGGTATGTGTATTATTAGTCAGTATAGGATACTCTATGCCGAGATAACAAATAAAACCTCATAATCTCAGTGGCTTTTTTTTTTTTTCTCATTGAAAAAGAAAATCTGGTGACAATGCATCAGCTTTCCTATAATAGAAACTCAGGATTCTGTTTGCTCCCATCTTGCAACCCACTGTCTTAGAGTTCTGCATATCCTGGCACACCAACAAGAGAGAAAGAGCATGAAGAACTCAGATCCCTTTTAGTTTCTTTAAATCAGAAGTGCCATGTTCCTTTGGCTCACTTTTTTGTTGTCAAGAATGTGGCTCTCGTCTCAACCTAATTGCAAAAGAAACTGGAAGATGTCTTCTCATCTGCCCCGGAAGATGAAATGAGGTAGTAAACACATAGCGTCCTCTACCGTATCATGTTTAGGAAACATGAGAGAATGGTGTACCTGCAAACAGTGGGTATAACAGGGAAGGGAGGTGATACGTGTTGTGGAGAGAAGGTGCACAGGCAGTGCCAGGAGGGAGAGGAAGGTAGATAAAGCCAAAGCCAACGTAACTACCTGGGGGTCTGAGCAGGTTCAAGAGCCTGAATGCCATGCTGAGGATAACATACCTGTCTGATGAGAGTTTACACGGAAACAGGGCAGGGAAGGGAGGTGTGCTCAATAGAGAATCTTAGAGCTCACGCTTCCCAACCAGAAGACCCCACGTAAGGGGGCAGCTCCTCTCAGAACCAGCCTGTGGTTTCTATTGCTTTAAGAGTCAGCGGAGTGCAGATCAGGATCTGAGAGTCAGACCTAAAACAAACTGACGGACCAAAACACCAGACTCATTGTGTTACTCTCTATTGTGTTCACTGTTTCTGGGCACCGCAGGACCCGTCCTCCAAGGGTGTGGCTCTGCTACCCAGCCTCCCCACACTGTCCCCTTCCAGGCTCTTCCCCACTGCTAGCAGCGACCACTGCAGTCTTAGGTCCTGTTCTCTCTGAGTGCCCTGGCTTTCTCCTCAACACATGTGGATGCATTTTCTTGGCCTCTTCTGATGGGGCTCCATTTCCAGCAGTATGTGCCCCAGTGACTTCCACTCTGTTTTATACTCAGTCATCTCCCATCAGACCTGTCCAGTCAAAAGGTAAAGTATTAGCAATAATAACCAAGTCCTTACCACAAGCCAAGCATTGTGTAGAGACAACTGGTTTCATTCTCAGGCCAGCCCCTGAGGTGAGCGGTAGCATTGCTTCCACCGTGCAGATGAAGAAACTAAGGCAGAAAGAAGAGGCTCAGTTGCCAGTTACAGAGCTCTAAACGGCCAGGCTGGGACTGCGAATCCCGGATATCCGGTTTTTTAAGCATTATGCTGCATTACTAGATAAAGGATAAAAGGGAGAAGGGGAGGTAGAGACAACATGGCTTCATGATCTACATTTTTTAAAAAATGAGACTAGCAGTTATGATCAGGAGAAGGGAGAAGAAACAGCCTCCAATTGCAAAGGAAGAGGTGCCGCCCAAGGATAAAAGCCTCCAGTTATTCCACAAAGGTTATTAGTTTCTTCAAAGGGAACAAACTCTGGCTGAAGGTTTGCCCGAATTTTCCTCCATGGACTCTCACTTGCCCTAGCAGGTGGGTGGCAGGGAGATCTGAGGCCCACGAATTGTAGTTCTTGGGCCCTGACTCAGAAAAGTCCCTTGGTCTTGGGAAAGCCCCTCCCACGCACGCACAATGCGGCAGCCGGGAGCAGGCTGGAGCCGGACGAGCAGTTAGCAGGTAGAGACAACATGGCTTCATGATCTACATTTTTTAAAAAATGAGACTAGCAGTTATGATCAGGAGAAGGGAGAAGAAACAGCCTCCAATTGCAAAGGAAGAGGTGCCGCCCAAGGATAAAAGCCTCCAGTTATTCCACAAAGGTTATTAGTTTCTTCAAAGGGAACAAACTCTGGCTGAAGGTTTGCCCGAATTTTCCTCCATGGACTCTCACTTGCCCTAGCAGGTGGGTGGCAGGGAGATCTGAGGCCCACGAATTGTAGTTCTTGGGCCCTGACTCAGAAAAGTCCCTTGGTCTTGGGACAGCCCCTCCCACGCAGGCACAATGCGGCAGCCGGGAGCAGGCTGGAGCCGGACGAGCAGTTAGCGGAGCACACAAGAGGCCTGTCCGCCAGCGTGCAGCTGGCGCGCCCTTTCCGCTGGTGCCAGCTGCCGGGAGCCGCGCACGCAGACGGGCCACGCCCTCCGATGAATATTCATGACAGCCTTGTGCTCAGACCCTGGGATTTCAAAGCCTCTAAAGGGATTAGAAGGAGGGTAGGGGCTTGGTGATAGGGCATTAGAAGGGAGAAGGAGCCCGGCTTTGTCTGAGCTTGCTTTTGAGGACTACAAAGAGCAAGGAGCACATGGAAAGTGAAGTCCATTGCTGCTAATCTTGGCGAGATCGAGTTTATAAAGGGAGCTCCCTGCTCCTTGCAGTTTATCAAATCTTTCAGTGTCCCTCCGCACAAATTACTGGTGTTTTGCAGACAGGCCCTCTTTCTAACACAGGGAAGCATGAAACGACCGAGAGTAGGCGGTTAGCTGGGTATTAAGAGCCTTCTTTATAACTCTTTTTCCAGTTACAGCATCTGTGTTCACAACGCTCCCTCTCACAGGCGGTCCTGTGCCCGTATTTTAATTTGTGCACATTCTTTATCTAATCGGTGACTTGTGTATCTTTTTGTACTGGAAACTTTGTTGAGTGTATCTATTCGACAATGTTAATCTCCCTATTATGAGAAAGGAAGTCGGAAATGGAAGAAATATCATTGGGAGGATACCAAAGAGTAAGAGGGAATGTAGTGTGAAAATATTCAGCTACTTTATTATTATTGCTATTATTATCGCATGGAGCTATTTAAATGAGGACAAGCCCCCCACCACCACCTCATTTTCATCCCTGAAAACTGAAGACATATGCAAATATAAGGGTAGAACTACTGTCAGCAGCCCTGAGTCTTATGGAAAGTAGGACATAAATCAAACAAGCATATAAACAAATGTCCGGGTATTTGCCGTTTCTAGAAATCATAGTTGGATCGGTTTGCCATTAATCCCCAGCAAAATTCTGAACTGTATAGTTAATCAAACAGCTAGTGAATGCTTAAAGATGACCACAAGGAACCAGTAACTTCACCAGGAACTAGTCATGCAAAACTTCACTTTCTTTCTACTTATTTGTATTTATCTTTTTAAATAAAGTGCTTGACTTCATCATCAGATGCCAGAAACAAAGAACATCTTGACAAAAGGACAGCCTATTCCTTCCAACCTTTTTTTACCCCTTTGTAATGGATATGGTATTTAAAAAGATCCAATTGAGCATTTGACAGCCAAAAGAGAATAGACTTTGAAGTCAGAAGGAATTGGGTTTGATTCTACACTTAGCACCTTGTTCTGTGAGTGTGTTGGGAATCTCTAAGACTCAGTGTTCACATAATTGCAAAATGGGAATGGAGTATCTACCACATAGATGTTTTTAAAAATATAGAGTATAAAACATAGGTACTCGGGAAAGGACAAGCATTAAGATACAACCTGAATGGTAAAAAATTTGGATATAAACGCAGAAAAGAAAATAACTGAATATTTCACATAAAAATATATTTTTTAATTTACTGAAAGTTCAATGTAAAATAACCAAGTACATGTGTCATGTGCAGACTGGAGTTTATTAATATAATTAATATAAGAAAAAATTCTAATTAATTTTAGTTGGTAGATTCTATCTGAAACTCTCTGCCCCTTTCTGGGTAGCACAAATGAGAAGGGTAAGGAAAAATAAAATAATATCTAAGATGATGTAGGGCCCAGAAATAATAATATATGAGAAATAGTTGGAGAAAATGATCATTTTTATTTAAGAGAAGAAATATAGGACAGCTATCTTTTGATATTTGAAGAGCTAGGATGCAAAATAGGGTATAAACTTATTATTTACTGCTCTAAATGGTAGAGTTAGGGCAAAAGATTACAAGTTCTGATAAGATAGATTTGGCGCTCAACGTGTAGAAGAACTCTTCAACAATGCAAAATGTGTATTCTCAAAAAATAGCAAAATCACAGTTACTGAAATTATTCAGCAGCAGGTAAAGTCCAGCTGTCAAAAGTAGTAGAGACTGTGGCATTTGCAAAGACAGTGGCCTAGTCTTCGATTAGAGTTAGTCATACACTTGCCTCCACCCCCAGCCATGACAGGCATGACTAATTAATGACAGCTCTCTTTCCTGCAAAAAAATTTCCGGCTGAGCTAAACTCAGCCTGGCAATCCTTTTCCATGCAGCCTCCAAGCCATCACCACCAATTCATTGGAGTTGACAGTCCTCCCAACCTGGATGATCCCTTAGTTCTCTAACATTTTAAAATTTAGAAATTTTCCCCAGTAGCATCACTATAAAGTATTCTGTAAATTAACATAAAGAAAAGTTGCAGTTAAGTGCAAAAATATTTCCAGGTGTCAGTGCATGTGTTTATGTCTATATATGTACCTTTGTGTGTAGGATAATGCATACAAGGCTTGATCTTACCCCGAAACAGGAATCAGGAGAGAATGAACACCTTAGCCCCAGGACCCCTTAAATAGTAATTCCCAGTTAGGGCATGCTGGTAGTTAATGATGTCACTTTTTGAACCCACTCTCATTTCAGCTTGACAAAATGCAAACCTTTTCTTACCCTATGAAATTTCAAACTCATCTTGTAAGTTGTAATTTCTGGAATATCAAGAGCAGGTTGACAAAAAGGAACAGGAAGAACTGGCGGAAGTCAAGCTGGGGTACTTGCAAACCTTCAAGAAAAGGGGAGATTTCATTTTTTCAGCAGGTATGACAAAAGAGTGGTCAATAAGAGACTAAATTACAATATTCGATGATATGAGCAGATTCAGAACCCAAGCTAATGGATGGGCAGCAGGAGCAACGGCCAGGAGGTGCAGTGGTGGAAGGCAGGTGGGCAGCAGCTCATAGTGGCTCCCCGGCCAGCAATTAGGGGGAACAAAGAACCCAGGCTAACTCCTAAGGACAGGGACAAAGGTGCAAAGTCAATTTGGCAGAAGAAAAAGATCATCTTTTCGATAAATATGGCTGGAATGATAGGATATACGTATACAAAATAAAACACCTCAGTTCTTACCTCTCGTATATCTTTATATCTCTGTATATCTTTGATACATAAAATCAACTCAAAATTAATCATAGACATAAACATAAATGGAATCTAAATTTGCTCCTATCATTGAATAGTGTAATTTAGTTTCTTATTAACTATTGTTTTGGTCATGTCTGCTGAAAAATAAAATCCCCCCCTTTTCTTGAAGGTTTACAGCTACCCCAGCACTAACTCTGCCAGCACTCCTTGTTCCGTTTTGTCTACCAGCTTGCCCAAGTTTGAAATTTTATGAGGGCCAAGAGAGGGTAGGAAAAGGTTTGAATTTTGAGAAGGAGGAAGGGGAGGTTCATAAAACAACTTGTTTTGTAACTAAGGTATTTAAATGTTAAAAGAGAGTTTGTTCAAAGGAAATACAAGCAAATAAGCGTATATACAAGTGGGATGCAAATATGCAAAACTTACAAGGTTGGCACCCACCATTGCCCTTTGCCACACTGTCTCTGAGGGGTTGGGAGGGCATCATAGGTGTCCAGGCTGGCTGGTGTTTAACACAGAACTCTGGTCTCAGGAAGAAAGTCCGCACAAACCAGGAAACTAGGCCGCAGTCCCATCCTGTGGGCGTGGGAAACTCTGATGAAAGGATGAGAGGAAACTGCAAGCTCCCAGGACCTCAAGCTTAGGACACATGGATCCTAGCTGTCACTACTCTGCTCTTGTGCAGCTACTTTTCCTGCCCGGCTTGGACAAAGTAGGCTCCACTGGGCAGGCCAGAACCTGAGAAGTTAAGACATCGTACCTGCAAGTAAGTGAGCTGAGGAAGGTAAGAGGAAAGTGCGTGAAGCTCATCTTACCTCTTAAGTTCTGGGGCATTCAATTATGACACCAGTTACATCTCCGCTTATCAGGAGCAAACTCCAATATGTCAAGGATTGTATAAAAGGATATGTAACAACTCTTTTAAGAGACCCCACCGCCAACTGATTTTCTAAGAAAGTAAGAAATAAATATTCCTTCTTTATGCATAAAAGTCTTAGGCATACAAAGTCTTAGGCATACAAAGTATGTTGTAAAGCCCCAAAGCATTATCTGTGGCATCAGATTGCCTGAGTTCAAATTTTAGCTCTACCTCCCATTAGCTGTATAAGCTTGGGCTGATTTCCAAAGTTCTCTGAACCTTAGTTTCCTCTTCTGTAAAATGAGGATGACTACACACACACACACACACACACACACACACATACCAGTGAAGTGTTTATTTCATGGTGCATTTAGCACATAATAAGTACACAATGAGCGAGAGATACAGAGCAGGGAGGGAACTTTTTTCTAAATATTATCTAGAACTCTTTCCTCTGAAGTCCAGAGACATTGGTCAGGACCAGCACCAGCAGATGCCTTAATGGTTATAAATGTTGCTGGACTCCCATGTAGTCAATTGTGGTTCGAG